TATACTTATTGCATTCAACTGCCAGGATGTTGTGGAGTAGAGTTAGTAGTAAGTTAGCTTTACGCTCGTTCGTAGAATAAGATATAGGCACTGGATGAAACGAGACAGTTTTCGGGTATTGCATCGCTAACGCTACAATGAATACGATAAATATGAATACTTTCAATATGAATGACAATTTATAGGATATTGCATGAACGTATATGTACCTATTATCATTGAACTCATGCCACTTGTGTGAGACTGGGTGCTTACAGATTGCTACATAATGACCACCAGCCGTTGAGCCTATACAATCAACAAGTTTCATTAGCAAATGCATTTTTGATTGATCGATTGGAACATACCCATATGATTGGAGATCGCATAGAGCGAATAATGCACATTCGAATTTGCGTTGGCCCCATAAGAGGCCATATTGAGCTCCCGGTCCGCCGTAGGAAACTCTACAATATTCGAGAGCTTGCTCCAGCGCGTTTCTGAGAAACGCTTCAGATCTGAGAGAGTAATTATATATTATATATACATATACAATTATGTATATCATATTCGAGTTGCACTTACGTATCACCAAGTATTTGGGGAAACGCTGTATGGTAAAGCTTTTGGTACATTTTCGGCGTGTCTTGCATTTGGAGCATGTGGGCATCTCGTCGCCATCTAGCACCTCCTCTCTTATGAACAGATCTAAGCAGGCCTCTAATTTGCAGCGCGATGACGATGGTAGTGGCACACTCAAATCCCAGAATGGGTCAAAGGTAACGCTTGTATTGCCACACGTTGTGCACTTCAGTGTGCTCTTTAATTGACCAACAAACAAGTCACGTATCAGGGAATTCTCATGCCTTGCATACCACTCCCAAGTCAGATCGGCCTTCTTATTGTCACTACAATAGAATACAATCAATTGGTTGTTTGTTTCTTTTATCAATGTTGTTTACACAAGCGCTCACCTGAGATTATCGTCAATGTTAAGCGTTTCACCTTTGACACCGCTATTCAGCGCCGAGTGCAACGAGTCAAGAAAGAATCGGAGAAACTCTTGCGCATCCTGTTGATTGTAATCGCTATACATGCGATGCTTTGTCGAAAAGGCACGCTTTAGTTCCATCGGCGTTACACTGTGCACATTTGTCGTCCACATTTCCTGTATGAGTTTGGCAAATTCTGTAAAACAAGATTTATTAGTATAACGATTTCATTTCACTTTAGGATAACTTGCCGTGTAGTATTTGCTGATCCTTGGAGGTTGCCGTGCGCGTGCTAGTATGATGGGCGCGCAAGAAGCGCGTCAGCTCAGTCGTGTGGCTCAGGCATTGGATGACTGAGTTCATGAAGCAAGTGTTTCCAATATTTCTTAGACCGCATAGACCTGTGGGTAATGGGAATTAATCAAAAAATTTTATTATTAAAAGCCATTGGAGTTATTATAGCTAACTGGGCGTGGCCCAAAAGGCACTCCCCAATTCGGATGGCGTGTTATGGATTTGCCTTCTTCGCGTTCGATTGACGGCCGGCATTTTGAATGGATTTGAGATCTAGTTTATGCGGAAGTTCCTACGTATGTGTATCTGGCTCACTATGTCAACTGGCATACTGGATTAATCTAGCTGACATCTATTATCAACAGACCGAGCACAGCCTACTTATGGGCGAACTAAAGTAAGGATATTACAAATAAAAATATTTGCATATCATTTTAAAACCCTTATTTTGCTCTCCCAAATCCTTTATACTGTGCTTTATAAATTTATATATGTATATATATATTTATATATGTATATATATATTTATATATGTATACATATACATATATACATGTATATATTTATAATATATGTAAAACGAACAAAATTTATTATTGTCTATTGCTTGCGTCGAAAAGAGTTAAAGCCTACTGCTTCAAAATTATCGTTTTGATTCACTCCAAGGAATACTTTTAACATGGCCGGGTTGATCGAAATATATTTTAGCAGTATATAGATCTATATCGCACACATAGTTTCTCCTTGGGCATATTCCGAATGGTATTTGACCCTACCTAGGCAGTTTTATTGGAACAGGTGGAATAAACCGTTACTCACCCTCGAACTTCTCGTCTCGGCTGCTTTTGTAGCCATCGTCTAGGCTAGTATGCTTATTGCTCAGCGACGATGAGCCAATGGAAGTGGATGTGGCGTTGGTACTATTCCGTCCGCTGTCCCGCTCCCAGTAATGGCTGGATGTTGGCGAGACAGGTGGCAGCACTGAACGAGAGCTGCTTGTGGTATTGCGTGCCACCTGCACAAAACATAATTTCAATTTATTGATACATAACATACAAAGTGGGAAACAGTAAAACGAAAATGCAATGATAAAATTACAGTTAGTTATTCAAAAGCAGCGAGCAATCGATCGTTAGAAATGGATGCATTTATCGATATTGGCTGGCATTGGTATCGGTGTGAGACCGAGCAAGTGAGTGAGTGAGTCTGAGTGTAAGTGTGAGCGTGAGCGTGTGTGTGTATGACGGATAACAATAAAAAATATGTAAATTGACATGCAAACTCAACGAAACTTAACGAATAATAATAACATGGCGGTTCAAGCAAGCGAGGGTTAGCTATAAAAAAGGGGGAGACCAAATTAAGCCAAATATTGAATCGATTAGTTTTCTTTTCTCTATATCGATAACAAAGGCAAAACGAAACCAAAATCCAATTAGAAATCAAGACGCATTGATCCTCGAAACCTACACGTATATATATATATATATATATATATATATATATATATATATATATATACATACATATATACATACATATATACATATTTGTATGTATGTACAAAAAGAAAACTACAATAAAAACAAACACTCACACAGACAGACACAAAATGATGTTTTTTTTTTTTGCTGAAAAATTAAAACTATTAACGGTGTTGTGGTCTGTGCTTGTGATAAGGATGGACATGAACGCAGGGGCAGCAGCCCCATTAGCTATTGCTTAAAACTTTACATATTTGAATAAACTATAAACTAAAAACACATAATGAGAGATAGAGAAAGAGAAAGAGAGAGAGAGCGAGATAGAGAAAGAGAAAGTGGGCACTGGGCGCCTGCCCCAAAGATAGTTGGGCGCCACTTACGCTGTCGTTGGCTGTGACGCTGTTGACTGCGGCGGCGGTGGCAGAGTAAGAGTAGGCGTTGGCTGAGTTAGCAACAGCTGCTGCTCCCGCCGTGTCGTTGTTGTGATGATGGTGCAGATTTACCTTGTGGATGTTCGGCGCGGATGTAGCTGGTACTGTTGCTGTTATTGCAGTTGCCGTTGCTGATGCCAGCGCTTTGCCCGCACCTTCTGAATTGCTGGCCTTGGCCAGCAGGCCATGGGCAATGCGACTGGCCGACTTGCTCATGGGCGCTACGGCAGTCGCTGTCGTTGTTGCCGTCGACGTTGCTGTTGCTGGCGCAGCGCTATTATTGCTGCTGTTGGTCCGATATGCGGCACGTGTCAAGGAGCTGCTGTAGCCGGCCGCAATGCGTGCATTCTCCATGTCTCCGCTGAAGCGCTGCTGCAGATTGCTGCTGCTGCCGCCAGCATTAGATGATGTTGCCTCTGCTGCCGCTGCTGCTGATGCGGCTGTTGCTGCAGCTGCCGCAGCAGCTGCTGCTGCTGCTGTTCCTGTTGAGGTTGACGCTGAACTTGTATTGCTGCGCATCGGCGTCGGTTGTCGCTTTTGTTCGCTGAGATTATTAAACTTCTCAATGGATGCCTTAATGCTGAGCGAATCGATGCCATAGCGGCGGGCATTGCTGGTGCTGCTGGCGCTACTCTCCCGCTCCAAACGTTCACGTTCGCGTTCGCGTTCCCGCTCCCGCTCCTTGGGACGCTGTTCGCCATTAGTGTGCTTATAGCTGTTAAACTTCTCATAGCTAGCCGCAAAATTGGAATTGGAGAACGATATTATTGTGGACTTGGGCCGCATCGAGCGCTGACCACTGGGCTTATCTCCGCTCAGGTGCTGATTGCGCAGCTGCAATGGCGGCGTTATGGGCTTAAAGTAGCATATGTTTGTCACCTTCTGGCCAGATGATGTGGCTCCAGACGCTGTTGTTGTTGTTAATGTTGCTGCTGCTGCTGCCGCTGCTGCTGCAGTCGTTGTTGGTGCTCCTGCTGCCGCTGTTGCTGCTGTGCTAGTCGGTATATCGTCGCTATCTATGTAGCTAATGTCATCGTGCTGCTGTTGTTGCTGGCGTTGCATGCTGCTGTTGTTGTTGCTGTTGTTGCTATTGCTGCTGTTGTTGTTATTGTTATTATTGTAGCTACTGTGACTGTTCATCGCGCTGTGATTGTTATTGCACTGCGGCACAATCGGCTTCAGTTTACCAGCCACCAGTCGTCCAGCTCCAGTTCCAGTGCCAGCTGCTGCTGCTCCTGCTGACGACGTTGCAATTGCCGCTGCTGCAACTGCTGTCTTTTGGCCCAAAGTCAGCTGCTGCTTACTGCTATGGCTCTGGCCCTGGCTATGGCTATATTTGATATCAATCCTGTGGACGGCTGAGTTTCCAGCTATTGTTGTTGCTCTGTTCGCGGTGGTGCTGCTGATGCTGGTGCTGGTGCTGGTATTGGTGTTGTTGCTGCTGCTCGTGCCGCCCGCTTTATTGCCATTAAGCGTCGTCGTTCGACGCATGTCATTCACTACAATATCGCTGCTGATGCCGTTAGCTATTATAGCTGCAGCTGCTAGTTTATTATTGCTGTTGTTATTCTTGTGATCGTCGAGCGCTTTGCTGCGCTTGTGCGTCTTGCCTGATGGCGTCTGCTTGAGCGTCACCTGGGCATGCGCCAAATCGCACTCGGCCTTAAGGAAGCTGGGATCCTTGTAGCTGGATACCAGAAAATAGCGCTGATTGGCCGCCCGCACCGGATTAACGTTGCCAATTGCCACCGCACGTCCACTGCTGCCGCTTGGCCCGTTGCTGGCGGCGTATTTGAGAGCAGTTGATTGCTTCTGGACAGTGGCACCAATGCCGCTGTTGGCGCTGGTTTTCAAGGATTTGACGTGCCGTGTTGTCGCCTGCTGCTGATGATGCTGATGCGGCTGTTGTTGTTGCTGTTGACTATGACTGTTGCCTCTTTGTTGTTGTTGTTGTTGTTGTTGCTGCTTCTGCTGCTGCTGCTGCTGCTGCTGTTGGTGTTCGTCTGTTGCTGCTGCAGCCGCTGTTGTTGCCGCAGTGTTTGCCTCGCGCTGCAGTTTGGACGCTGGAATCTTATGGAATCCTCTGGTTTTCTTAATGTCTAACATCATTCAACAGCTCCTTATCGTGTGGTCACTGCTGCTGCTGCTGCTGGCGGTTACACACGATGCAATGCTATTCTGGACTTTAGCTTTTGCTTTATTTTTCTTCCCGCTTTTTCTTTTATTTTATTCCGGCTCGTATGTATTTGTAAAGCTTTTATTTTATCCGCCTTGATGTTATTATTAACTTGATTATGATTATTATTATTATACGGTTCTTGATGTTCTTGTTATTGTGTTTGTTCAATTTTTTTTATCGAATTTGAAAAGGTGTGTTGTGCTTACCAAAAATACATACTCTCAAAACTACCTTATACACACATTTGGACTGTTTGCAAATACAAACTACTGCGTTAAACTAAAATTTTTCAAATATGGATGCTTTGAACTTTGTTTGGAACGCCTGCCTAAATTATTATCGACTCAATCAGTTCTACTAATTACAGTTGCAGTTGCGTTATCGATAATATATACACAAACATATATATACAAATACATATATATACATATATACATATATACACATATATATAAATATATATTTATATGTATATATATATATATATGTATATATATATATATTATATTGGTTTTTGGTTTCGATTGCTCTGGGTTGAATAGTTATATGATTTTTGCCCTCGTCAGGTTTCGAGAGTTAATAATCAAGTGAGTTAGTTTGGTTAGTTAAAAGGGACGCGCTCTGCGAGAGTATAGCTAAAAATATATAGAAATACATACACATATATATAGATGTAGTTCGATAAATTGAGAAATGCGTGTAAAGGTGTTTAGCCACAAAACGAATGATAAAAAAGCCAGATCGTAAAAAAAACAGAGAACATGGATCAAGAAGGAAACAATATAGATGTCAAGTGAGATACCGATATTATGTATATATATAAATATATATACACATGAGTAAATAAATTATAAATCATAATTCATTTATATATATATATATATATATATATATATATATATATATATAAATCATAATATATAGATCTAGGTACTTAATGATTGTTGATTGCTTGGCCGACCGACCGTAACCGCAGTCTAAATGCTAATAAATCCTATTAGAAAAGGAGTGGGATTAGGTTTGAGGTGGGGGTTTTTGTTTTTCTTTATCTTGAAAGCAAGGCAAAAGCAACAATGCATAAATTCACATACACACGCACACAAGCATAGGACGCGCCAAATTCAAATATCGATAGTTAGTTTAACAGTGTTATCGCACTATCGCTTGGCAGCGGCTCGTCCTGGGTGGCAGCTCCGACATGCGATTAGTAATTTAAATATGTTAGCATATCATTTTTTGTTTCTTAATGCCTGTCAGGTGCTTAGGTATCCTGGCGTTTTAGAACTTTCAGCATTGTTTACCTTGCTGCGCGCAGTGGCGCCCTCTGCCAGCGTCAGCGTTGCTGTGGCACTGACGTCACCATCGCCATCAGCTTCGCCATTGACATCACCATTGGTATTGGCCCTAACCTTCGCAACTGTAACCGTTGCGGTCAGATTATTAACATCAGCAGCCGTTGATGCCGCCGCCGCATCGTCTGTGGTGTCCGCTGCCGTTACGCTGGAGCTATCATAAATGGCATTGCGCTTGGGCGACGTCGAGAGCAGCGAGAGTCCATTTAGCTTGGCGTCCAGTCCATTGCTGCCTGCCTCCGTCGCATGGCCATTGGTGAGGGTCGTTGGCATTGTTGGGGCAACTGTCACCTCCGATGCGGCATTGCGACGCGTTCGATTGTTGCGCAGCGTAAATGTGGCCGTTGGCACATCGCCACTGCTGCTGCTGGCGCTTATCGTGTATCTTCCGGAGCCACTGCGTTGTCTGGTTGTATGTGTTGTTTCGCTTGCACCTGAATCGCCACCGGCATCACTGCTGCTGCTATAGAGGCGACTGTAGCGGCTGCTGCGCGGCCTGTCCACTGTCACGGTGCAGGTGGCGCTGTTATCAATGCTGCTTCGGTTGTTGTTGCTGTTGCTGTTGCTGTTGTTGCGGTTGTCAGTGTCGGCTTCATTGACCGCCGATCTGGAACGTGACAGTTCACAGTTTGGTTTATAGTTGGCCGGACTGTACTTTTCGTACATGTCCAGGGCGGATGTGGCAACAAAATGTTCTAGGGATGATGATGAGCATGAGCTGGACAAACGTTTCGATCTGCTGCCGTTAGATATCGCATCATTGCCATCTGCCCGCTTTTTATCGTTGACAGAATCTCGGCGATACTTCGAGCACCAATCGTCATTTTTTGTGCCTGCTCCTGTTGTTGCTGTTGCTGTTGCGGTGCCTGTCGAGCTTGCTGCTGACCCAGCTGCCGCTCCATCGCCATTCGATGCTGTGCCCTTTGCTCGACGCGGCAACTGAACGTGTTTTTTTTTTGCATGTTTTTTTTTTGTTCGTGTCGTGGTTGTTGGTTGAAACATTTATACAGATGTGTGACATTTGAATGCGATTTAGTTGTGGTTGTGATATGACGGCAACGGTTAACGGTAACGGCAACGGTTAACGATCATAATTTTTTATGCGTTTTCATGATGGGCAGCAACACATAAACCAAAATCAAATGTTTTTCAACAAAAAACAAGACGAAAGAAAATAAGTAATATAATAAACTCGTAAAGAAAAACAAACACACAAAATAAAAGAAAAAAATTGCAGTAAATTAAAAGAAAAAATTACTATCAAAGACAAACAATTGAAAATTGAGTGAAAAAGTTGCTCTCTTTTGAGGTCGCATTCACATGTTTCTGTCAAATTTAACATGCACTTCACACTTGGGCAACTGCATGACAAAAGCTGTCATGCACTTGGCATAGTTTAGCTAAGTAACTTATCGATGTAGTGTTGCCACCTTATTCGAATTTACATCTATGAAGATTTGTATATATGTTTAATGTCGTCTGTGACATGTAGAATATTTCTAGATTTATATTTTCAGAACTTGAACTCAAGTCACGAAAAATTGGAATTGAAAATTTCAATTATACGTCGCTTGGAATCTATTTTGGGCATCAATTCATATTATCTAGTATGTGTTTTGTGAAACGTACGAAACCATTAAATATAAAATATAATATTTGGCAAACATAAATTGTTGTTTTTTATACAAACAGAGAGACAGAGAGAGCTGCCAGAATTAAGAATTATTCACAATTTTTAACATCAATTCGAACCGAATTGTTTCTGTATTTTTAGCAGCTCAACGTGATTTCAGATAATTCTCCTATTTATTTATTTTGGTGTTTATTATCAAAATAGCTTTCAAGAATACAGACAGACAAACAGACAGACATACATATGTATATGTGTTTGTATGTGAATGATTAATGATGTCGACAAATAGCGCTGGTGACTTGCACAATTTCAAAGTTGATAGACAGTCAATTTGTTATCGTTATCGATATCGATAAGTCATGTGCAAATCAAGTGATTAAACACCCCATGGGCACATGTATCTATTGCCAAAGTAACACACACACAAACACAAACACACACACACACATATACACACTCACACACTAACAATGCATCTTTGTCATATTAAACATATTGCGAATTTTGAATATTTAATGCCACAAACAAACGTTTTCATATGTAGATAGCACAAGGGCGGACCAGCTTGCTGTTGTTGTTATTGTAATAGGGGCTGTTGTTGCAATTTGGTGTTGCTGCTGCTCTTGTTGTTGCTGTTGGTCCTATTGGAACGGTGCCAACAAGTGGTTTGACTTGGCGAAAACATTCCATTGCCATGGCGCGGCGGGTGGGTCTATGTTTGTGGTCATGACGCATACGCCGCCTTATCGCAGCTTTCTGCATGCACACACACACGCACACAAACATACTCACACACACACACACACATTGCGACGCAAGAACATCAGAGCGAAAACAAATGACAAGTTAGCAAAACTGAAAATGTAACTTCAAAATGCCGCCAACTGTCAAACGAGTGTCATAAAAAGAACGGTAAATACACGGTTAAAGCTCTAGGTGTATATATATATATATATATATATATATGTATATTTGTGTGTGTGGTTGCTTATGAAGGGAAAGGGGCGTGCTGGCATGCTTCTAAGCAGAGCCAACATGGGCGTGCCTGGCTGGATCGAGCACTAGCTATGTAACATATGCACACATACACATACACGTACACGTACACATATGCGTACATATGTCAACACATGTGTGGGCAGGTGGGTGTGTTAAGTGGGTTGGGGTTTTTGCGACCAGGTAATGTATGTGTCATGGACTACTTGTGATTTTTGGATAATGCACAACATGAAACGAGCAGCTAAAGCTGATTAAAAATTTCCTTTCTTCTTTCTTTCTTTTCATACTAAACATACAAATACGTGAATGTATGTACATACATATGTATGACACACACACAATAACAATCAATTTCCATATACATATAAATAAATATAAAAAGGGTTGTTCCGCATTTTTCAATTGTTTCATAAATACTTGAATCATCTAGTAGTTGACTCAAGTGTCTTACAATCTATATATTCAAATATCCAGAACAATGTTCTCTGAGCTCCAAGATCCAAGTCGCAACACTTATGTGGTTTCGAAACGTATGAAAATCGGACAATTGACATATATAGAAGGTATTCCTCTGTTTAACTTCTGTATTTCGATAAACTTAATTAATCCGCTTATCATTATCATACCAATCCTCATCTACGCCAAATACATATATAAATGCATATGCATACAATATAAGCTAGCTATATATACATATACATATACATACACATATACACATACAAATAAGACACACACGAATCCTTGACTATTACAATAGACAGCTCTACTTTAAATAGAAAACTCACCAAATGATTTGAATGTGTGTGTGGGTGTGAGTGGGTGTGTGTGTGTGATTGTGCATATGAATGAGTTTTGTTTTTTATTCCAAGCCCAGTAGTAAAGAGGTTCAAGTACGAGAGTGAAGTTTGGGGTTTCAAAGGTGAATATTCTAATAGATGTACATATGCCCGGCATCATACAAATACAGAATACTATATAAAGAGCTCTGTTCAGCCATCAATTAAACATCACATATGTATAGATAGATATGATAGATATGCATGTACATTAAAAATTAATCGAAGGAATTTAAATGGGATTGGATCTTCGGATGGAAGGAGGAAGGAGTTGGGTGTGGCTAAAGCGATAATCATCAAGAACACTCACTCCGCATCGGCCATACGAAATTGTATCATAGTTGTTCAAATACGATGAACTGTTCCGATATCCAGAATTGAGAACAGATCCAGATCCGCCGCTCAGATACAATGGAGATGCAATGCTATTCCGCTGTGTGCTGACGCGCGGCGTACTCGAATATGATGAATAGGAGCTAGGATAATAGCTGCTCGCGCTGCTGCTGCTGTGATGATTGTAGGAGGATGTGGATGATGCTGATGTACCCGAACC